TAAACCACCCCCCCCCCCCCGAAATCTGGAGTCTGTTTCAAACAATTCTGTTTTGATCAAGAGAAATTCAAAGAGAGGAGGGGCAGGAAGACAGGCTCTGCAACCTTGCAGGGTTTCATTATGTGCATCCTCAAAGGCAGGCAATGGTTTCTCAAGCCTTCCCACCCTTCCGGCTAGAGCACCATGTCGCATGTAGCATAACCCCCCACCCCTCCCGCGAGGACTGAAGTTACAAAAGAGTGTACAGAGGTGTAACAGAAAACTACAAAGAAATCCTTCTTTCGAAAGAGAAAAAGATAATAAAATGAATCACTGGCTGTATCTAAAAATAGAGTAAATTTTGGAAAAGTAGTTTCACTTTCCTTCCCTAACAGTGCCAGAGAGAAGCCACTACCACTAATGAAGCAGCACTGCCCTCTAGTGTTCAGAGAGGAAACTCGGTTCTGTTTGCCCCTTCTTTGGAGGGCTCTGTTTCCGTGGCCCTGACCTAGATGGTCCAGGCTGACCTGATCGCGTCAGATCTTGGACTGGACGGCCCTTTTCGCACGCCCACACACGCACGCGCACTCCTGAAGCGCCTCCATTCACCCACTTGGACTGAGAAACAAGAAGCCTTCTGGCCAAGAGGTAACCAATACTTTGCTATTTAGGCTTCCTCTAGGGGTGCGATGCAACGAACATAAAATTGAGCAAGCTCCAGAGGATGATGGAAGACAGGAGGGGGGCCTGGCGTGGTGTGGTCCACGGGGTCGCAGAGAGTCGGACTCTTCTGGACAACAACAAAAAGTGGTGCGGGGGAACCTTCTGCCACCTCTGGTGGTGGTGGAAAGTGCCATCAGGACGAAGGTGACTTACGGCAACCCTGCAGGGTTTTCGAGACGAGACGCAGAGGTGGTTTGCCATTGCCTGACTCTGCGCAGCACCCCTGGGTTTCCTCGGTGGCCTCCCACCCAAGCACTAGCCTGGGCTGACCCTGTTTCGCCTCCACGATCTGACGAGAGCAGGCTAGGCTGCCATCTCTAAACTGCCCTCAGGGAGAGAGAAGCTCCTTTCTCTGATATCCTGCAACTGCCTTGAAGCATCTTTGGATGTTTCGGTTCCCCTGAGAACGTTTTCAGTTCCTCTGAGAAATGGAGACTGCTAAAAAAGGGTGACTGGTTTTGTCGAAGTCCTGTACTGCGATTTAACAGGTGCTTTTGAAGCGAGCACATATGAACTGCAAGGCATTGGCCATTCAAAGCACATATTTAGTGGACTGACCTAGTTTCCAAGCAACGTGGCAGCATTTTCTGTTTCCAGACATTCTGAAGGCATAGAAAAATGCCAACAGATCAGCTGCTTTCAAACCTACTCTTTTGACTTCTTTCAGAATTAAAAATGTATAACGTGGTCAGGAATATAAGGAATAGTGCTGGTGATGTATGTTGGTCGAACTGTACTCAAAAAGCAGACATAGGACTTGGAGTCAGAAAGAAGAAGAGCTGGTTTTTATACTCTGCTTTTCTCTACCCTGAGAAGCCTCAAAACAGCTTACACAAGGTGCCTTCCCCTCCTCTCCCCATATCGGGCAACCTGTGAGGGAGGTGGGGCTGAGAGAGTTGAGAGAGAACTGTGACTGGCCCAAGGTCACCCAGCAGGCTTCATGTGGAGGAGGGGGAATCAAATCCAGCTCCCCAGATTAGAGTCCGCCACTCTTAATCAATATTTTGCAGCCACCAGACCTTTTCCATGGGTGCAAGAATTTCTGCCCTTGGAGCACAGCTTTCTTACCACCCTAACTCCTGCCGCAGCTTGAAGTCCTGCCCCCGTGCATTCTGAGTTGCATTGGGAGGTGAGGAAGTCATGCTCCGGGGGTGGAAATCCTTGTGCCCGTGGAAAAACTTGGGGGTACCCAAACCATTGCTGTTTGAGAAAGACAGCCACACCCCACCCAGGGCCAGGTCACCGCCTACGTGGGCACCAAGCCGGCACGGCAGAAGACAGCAGGTGTTGCTTACGCTTGCTGCAGCCTCCAGCGCTGGAGCCGCTGCTTGCCCAGGGTGCAAGGCCCGTCCTCTACATCTCATCCTGCAAGGGGGCGGGCAGGGACACTAGAGGCAGCTCCCGCCTTCTCTCATGTCACTGCTGGCTCGGATCCACCCAAGATTGACTGCGCGGAGAGGCAAGCCCTGCTCTTCCCCATCAGTTTCTTCAAGTAATAGGTTCAGTGGGGTAGTTGTGTTGGCCTGCAGTAGGACACGGCTCCAGAGCCGCAGGACATCAAAGGCCAACAAGATATCCAGGGTCTACTGGCTTTTGAGGGTCAAAGCTCCCTCTGCCAGTCTCTGACGAAGGTTGCTTTAACTCTTGAAAAATTATACCCTGGAAATCTTGTTGGTCTTTTAAGGGGTACTGGACTCTAATCTTGCTCCTCAACAATAGGGGAGCTGCTTTTTTGATTTTATACAGAAGAAAGCTTAGAAGGGTTTTTTTACCCCCCTTCTTCTCAATCTTCTGCTCTGTGTTCTGTGCGGTGGCCCCTGAGCGTGCCTTCATGTTCACCGAGTTAAAAAAAACAACCCACGATTCCCAAAAGTGTGTTTGAGCCATTCTTCTGAGCCTGGAACGCTACAAAACCAGGGCGACATACTGCCCGTGAATCTGCCCTCGGTTTTCGAGCCATGCCTCAACGACATTACCTCTCTGCGTCTAGCTGCACCCCATCAGGCATCTTCTCCTGAATGCTGGCGACTGTACACTTGATTTCTTCTTCCTCAGTCACCCGATGCTTTGGAAGTATGGGTTCGGGCACTCTCCCGTTAATTATGTCGAAATTTCGTTTGGGCGGTCTCGGTGGTGGGGGAGTATGCTCTGGTGGCGGGTCCAAGTCCTCATTAGAAAGCTCTTTCCATTGCTCCTAAAAATGAAAGAAACTTACTAAGATTCTACAAATGACAGGCATCACAAACAAATAATTTAGATGCCCTAATTTAGGCAGAGGTCATTTCGGGGGGGATTGCGGGGGATCGCAACTCCCCCGGGTGAGGTACGGGGGGGCGGGGCACATGATGAAGCCCTGTCCCCCGCTTCCGGCCGCCCTGCTTCCGGCCCTCATTCAGCTAGGAGGAGGCAGGAGAAGAGGGAGGGTAAGTTGCTTCCTCCCCG